AGGCGGACAACGACATGGGCAACGACACGATGCAGAAGTCTCTCCCCACCCCCAGAGATACCCCCACCCCACAGCACACTTCCGCCTCAGGCAGCAAAGAGCTCCCGATGCAAGATATTGGGGCCAGTCCGAGCCGTTCGCTCTCGCCATCACACGACATCGATCCCTCTCCAAAGCGCAAACGTACTGCCACAGGCGATGATGACTGTGAGCCCGACGACGACGACGACACGGATCTCCTCAAGGACCCGGAGGCTTGGGATAATGCTGATAGAGAAGGTTGGTCGAAGGACGTTAATGGCCTCTTTGACGCCGGTCGCCGCATCAAGGATCTGTCACCAAAATGGCTCGCTCTCATCGACGCCATCATCACGTTCGAACGTCGTCACGGATTTCCCGCGGAGAAGAGTGTACGACTTCCGGGGGCGAAAGCGCGCCCCAACGTCGTAGGCGCTTTTTTGAAGTCCGGGCACAAGTGGGAGAAGCAGATGGCTCTCGGAAGTGATGTCGACAAGTTCAAGGCGAGCTGGTGGTCTTGGTGGCGCGCTCAACAGCCAGCGTCACGTTTCCGTGGGACGGAGTTAGTTCGCAGCGAGGATATTACCTGGGATGGGCTGGAGGAGAAGTCGGGTCTCAACGGCCTGGTTCTCATTGTGGGAACTCTTCTCTGGTGGCGGGAGGCGGTTGCCAATGAGAAGGACCTCGACGTCGCTCTAGCACATGCCGACTGGGAGTGCGCAGTCGACGATGTTACGTGGGCGATCTCTCATATGCTTCGGCACGGTGTGAAGAAGAGAAGGATCACCAAGGTATGTCAACTCTTGTCTTGTTTATGCTGCCTCTGAATTCGCTTTTTTTAGCGCACTCGTATATAGCTCGGACTTTTTACTACATTTGTATTACTTAAATAGACGGACTGTGTACATATATGACAATGTGATGGTGCGCTGTTGAAGCGCCACATAATTAGTGTTACGTTGGGTCATGATGGCCAGAACAACAGAAAAAATGTCGGAAAATAGCCGGGCAGTCCACAGATGTTTCCGACGTCCCGGGCACACATCGGGCAGTGATTGCTGAGGCGGTGGCGGCAATCCCGCCGCACACACAAGACGAACCGTTGAACATTCCCAATTAGGAAATTGTTCATATAGGCTGTGTGAGCAGTGCGGAATACAATGTTTATTCGCTTATACACCTGGTGTGGCACTGTAGATGTGGGTGTGGCGCCGTATATGCGCGGGAGCAACAGGTACCGGGCCAGAAGCGTGGCGCACAATCAAACCCAGGTCGGGTAGCCCGAAATACCCAATACACGGCGAAATGCAGAGAATAATGATATTTATTAATTTATTTGCAGGAATGTGGCGCAATATATGCGCGGGAGCAACGGATACCCATCCCGAAGCGTGGCGCAGAGCCATACCGGGTATGTAGAGGCCGGGTAGACCCGAATGCCCGATGATCAGGGTGCAGGGACCCACCCCAGGCCGGGAGAGTGATCTGTTCCTGACCGCCACGCTGCCCTAAAGCCCTACCCATCGTTCTCGGGCATTCCCGAGCTCCCCAGTACCCCGCCGTGGCTGCCGTGTGCTGCCGCAGTGCCGACAAACCCACCCACTACTGCTACTGGGCGGGGAGGGGGTAATAACTAGTTATTCCGCTATAGTCTATAGCGGCTGTAACTTACTGGGTTTAACTAGTTGTTTTGCCCTAACAGTATAGGGGAACAACTAGTTATGAGTAGTGCATAGGGTGCGACTCTCTTCAATGTCTTCTATTTCCTCATCTTCCCCTCCTCCACCTGCGAAATGACGCGCCGCGTGCCACAGGCTTGCCACGAAGGAAGAGCTAGTCGAGGACTCAGCTGCTTTTCGGTTTACACAAGGTGACGACATGCGGTCCTTCGCAGGAGCTGCAGACATGGCGTCTGGAACAAGCGCTACGGAAGCACTTCCCCTCGTTCCAGTTGTTGCAGATCTCTCGCTCTCGCTTCTTTGCCAATTTTGTTCTCGCAGATTTTGCGCTCCCACCTGTGCCTCCAATATCATTGTACCGAACGCCGTCTCTGTCGAGAAAAGCTCGCTGGAGTTTCGTGATCTCGGGGGCGTTGTACTGATTGAAGAGGATGGCTGGGTTCGACCCGATAACTTTGCGAGCGGCGATGTCGTACGCAATGACTCGGGCATGGGACTCTTCGACCTTGGACGTGAAGAGGTCGTCGATGTGCTCTCGCCAGGCTCGGAGTTCGTTCGTCCGGTAAGGGAAGATTGTCTCGACTGCCTTGACATACTTATCAAAGCATCTAAACCAGACGACTGACGAACTAACAGTCTTCTTCTCCGCGCTTCGTCCCAAGGCTTTGTGAAGTGCCGATTCGACCGTACTGACTGGAGTGGGGTCGAGGTCGAGTTTGGTGGAGAAGAAGAAAGCGTTGATCTCGTCGAAGTCGACGACTTGATCAAGGAGGATTTTCTTCCAGAGAGCTTCAGGGAAGACGGGGGCGAGTCCTGTGCGCAAAAGGTTGTGCAAGGTGTACTTGACGTCGCGTCTGTGATTTTCGACGGCGTCGCGGATTTTCTTGTGCTCAGCTGAGAGAACGACTTCTTGGACGACGGCGGCGGCGGCCCATCCAAAGAGATTGTTGTCTGGTACATCGCCATCGTTGGACTCGCGAGCGTGGTGGTGTTTGCGAGGAGGTTTGGACTTGGGTTTGTCGTCTCCTCCACTCTCATATTCTGAGAGCGAACTATTGGAATTGGGTGTCTCTGCCCGTTTGCGTTTAACTCCGGGTTTGACACTCTCTTCGTGGTCATCACCGTCCTCTTCCTCGTCGACGGTCTCTTCTCCTCCGGATACATCGTCGTCATCTTTTCGCGACTTTCCCAACTCTTTCCCTCGTTGCTTGGCTCGCTCGAGACGTCTAGCGTCGCTCTCGAGTTGCTCGAACCACGGCTTGAGCTCGTTACGTCCGCTGAAGTCGTACAGTCCGGCTTCGGAAACACCGCCGATGTAGGCAACAACCGTGGTTTGAACGTCAACTTTGGACGCCCGTCCCTCACGGTATCGACTGACGATCTCTTCGAGGGTTTTCCGTACAGCTTCGCAATACTGCTCCTCCGTGAGTTCTGAGTCAGGGATGTCAGGGATAGAACAGTCTCCGGCTTTTCGCTTTTTGCTGCCTTCGGCATGTCCGGGCATAATCGTATGAGTCGTTAGATGGAAATTTATTTCGCAATCGACGAGAATACAATACTGGCGTGAAACAGTAAGAGACTGAGCCTAAGAAAAAAAATACAAGAACGCACCTGGCGGGGCACAGTAAGAGCTGAGGGATGCGAGACATCCTCGGCTGCATACCTAAGCTGCCCGCCAGGTATGGAAATCAACGATCGACCTAAGAGAAAGATGTGGCGCTGAGAGCTGACCACGTCAAAGTCTCGCTGTAAGCGAGGATAACGTCCCGAAGGCAGAAGAGTCTCACCTGGTTCATTTTGCGACCCGGTGGGTAACGAACCATAAGTACAGCATTTTAGATCCGAAGGATCTGTAATGAGTACTGTTGGTGAGGATGCTGTGAGCATGGAAAGCGAAATGGCGTACCTCATATTGGCCTTGAGTAATCAAAAGATTAATCTCGAACTATCAGAGATGAGTGGACCGACCTTGAACTTTTGACGGCCCGGGCGTCATGAACTCAGAACCACCCAAGTGCGTCTGGTGGTGAGTTGTAAACCGCAATATGTGTTCATTAGGCCCTAGCTGAAGTCAGTAGTATCCCGTTCGAGTCTTCAAGTCGATAGGCTAGCACCTAGGAACCAACAATTCAATGGCATCATACTCATTTCAACGAGGCGCTTTGTCCTTAGTCACTTGTTTGGCGGAGGCGGATATCACAACTTCTCATTCTCACGCTGGCGCAGGGAGAAGCTGAGAGCGGCAGGACAAAGGCGGGATGGGGGCGTGGCGCCACATCACATGTTTAGAGACGAAACCGTTACTGTACCGTTTCGACCCCAAGTTCGCATAACGCGTAACGCGGGGTCGAGAACCTAACTTACAATAAAGCATAACACATCACGGACCTTATTTTCAGGGTCCGTAAGGCCTAAAAAGGAAATTTTCGCTCCCGCCTACGGCGGGAGCATCCAAATATGGTAATTTCGCGTGGTGTGCCTGGTTACGAACTTATTTCCTGTAAGTTCGTGGCATAACGCGTAACGCCCCGCGAACTTACGGTCGAAACGGTACAGTAGTAACAGTTTCAAAACCATGGCCTCCCGGGGCGTCGGTATCAATACCGTTACTAACACCCCCGGGAGGTTTACTGTAGGGTAGTGGAAACAACCTAGGTTAGCATACCGAGAGGTTGTTTCCCAGTAAATTACCGGTTATTTACCGGTTCGTAACCTCGGAGCCTGCGAGGTAGGTTATTTACCGGTTCGTAACCTCGGAGCCTGCGAGGTAGGTTATTTACCTCCACGTGACATTTTCACGTGATCTGTGGCGCACAAATTCGGGAAGCTTGCCGCCATTGGCACTAGGAGAAATGCCACCATAGACAGATACAGACAACTTGTTAAGAAAATGAAAAATGCTAACAATTGGAGAGTTGAATTCAACCAAAATTCAGCATAAGAGCCTAAATCAGGCTCAACAAAATACAGGGTTCAATTGGCTTAGAATTACATGGGAGGGAAGGAGGGAGGACTACATAATCAATATTTCACTGTGGTGACACCACGTAAGTGGGCATGAGGCCGAAGGAGAGAGAACACACAGATAACAGCAGGCAAAGAGATTCCCGCGAAATGGTCACGTGAATATATCACGTGCCGGTAAATTACCGTTTCTAACCGGTAAATAACCTCTTCTTCTGGGCGGGTAGGTAAATAACGGTTATTTACCAAACCCGGAGGTTATTTCCACGACCCTAGTTTACTGCGCCAACCTAACCAATAATGACAATGTGCATAAAAACGCCTAGACGCCACGGCCACCTCTCTGACTGGGAGTCGAACCCAGCTTTCGCGCGCGCACCTTCCAATAATCGCACATGACAGGCGCGTGTACTAACCGATATACTATCAGAGATGGTGGATTCAGACCTTGAGCCTTTCACGGCCCGTGGATCCGTGGCACAAAATAAATGATCTAACGCTCTTCAGGTGATGGCGAGTTGCACACCGTAATTTGTCTTCAGTGAGCCCTAGCTGAAGTACCTCGTTCGAGTCTGCAGGTCGATGAGCACCTGCCCGCTGATTGAGAGGCGCCAGGTCCCAATTCATGGAAATCCGCTCAACCAAATCTAGAAGCCTCAAAAGCAGAAGCAACCAAGGAACCAAAATTCAATGGCATCATACTTACTCGCCAAAAGCAAACAAGTCGTACAACGTTCATTGTCATATTTAAATCAATCAGTCGTGCGTAATGTACATTGCGATATCCAATACATAATGTTAAAATTTGCTCATCGTTCTTCATGCTTAGTATTCATTTACATACGGTGACCCAAGTTGACGTGCACAGCCTTCGTTTGGGTGTAGCTAGAAGAGAGAATCGCGTCAGTATCATCAACGACGCAGGAAGGAAAGGATAAGCTTACTTGTGCAGCGCGTACTCGCCCAACTCCCGTCCGATACCGCTCTGCTTGAAGCCACCGAAAGGAACATTCGCGTGCAGCTGGTTCGCGCAGTTGACCCAGGCAGTACCGGCCTTGAGCTTGTGTGCAGTCTCGAGTGCGCGGTTGATGTTCTGAGAGAACACGGCGGCGGCGAGACCGTAGACTACGAACGAAGACGTCAGGATTAGAAAGGATGATATGGAAAGAATACATACCGGTGTCGTTGGCCTGTCTTATCACATCCTCCTCATCCTCAAACTTGATAACAACACCGACGGGGCCAAAGATCTCCTCCTGCACGATCTTCATGTCGGGGGTGGTGTTGGTGAAAATGGTGGGCGAGATGAAGTAACCCTCGTTTCCGTGGCGCTCGCCTCCGTGGTGGACCGTCGCACCCTGCTCCTTGCCAGACTGGATGTAGCCCATAATGCGGTCGTATTGCTGCTGGGAGACCTGCGGGCCCTGGTCGATACCCTCAGCGAAGGGGTCGCCGACCTTGATGTTCTTGGTGCGCTCGGTGAATCGCTTGAGGAACTCGTCGTAGATGCCGGACTGCACGAAGATACGCGAACCGGCGCAGCAAGCCTGTCCGTGGTTCCAGCTATAGAAAAGAGTTAGACAAGATCGAGGAGTAAACGCGGACAACGTACAAGATACCGTGAGCAGCCCAGTTGACGGCTTGTTCGAGATCGCAATCGTTGAAGATGATGTTGGGGCTCTTACCGCCAAGCTCCAGGGTGACGTCCTTGAGGTTGGACTTGGCAGCAGCCTCCATGACCTTGCGGCCGACGAGGGTAGATCCCGTGAACGCCACCTATGAAATTCGTAAATCTGACGCGTCACGAGTACCGCGGAAGACCAACCTTTTCGATATCCATGTGCGAGGACATCGCAGCACCGACCGTGTGGCCGTAACCCACAAGGATGTTAATGACACCCTTGGGGAAACCGGCCTCCTGGATGATAGAGCACATGCGGATGGCTGTCAGAGGCGTGAACTCGGAAGGCTTGAGAATGATGCAGTTTCCGGTGGCGAGAGCGGGGCCGATCTTCCAGGCGAACATGAGGAGAGGGAAGTTCCATGGAATGATCTGGCCGACGACTCCAATGGGCTCGTGGCGCGTGTAGCAAAGCTTGTTCTCGTCGGTTTCGATGGTCTGCCCAGAGATCTTGTCCGCCCAACCAGCGTAGTACTTGATGGTGGCGATAGCAAACGCCGTATCGGTGCCCTTGGCCCATCCAAAAGTCTTGCCTAGAAGCACGTCAGTGGGAGCCGAATAGAAAGAGAACGCGACGTACCGTTATCGAGGGACTCGAGGGCAGCGAGCTCATCGTGGTACTTCTCCATCAGCGTCGCGAGCTTGTTGAGTAGCTCGGAACGGCGGGCACCACTCGCGTTAAGACCCCACTCAGTCTCGAACGCCTTGTGAGCAGCCTTAACGGCGCGATCGACATCGGCTTCAGTTGCCTCGGCGACCTTGGTGATGAGCTTGCCGTTGGTAGGGTTGATAACACTGTCGATCGTGAGCGAGACAGAAAAAAAAAGTGAGACAAGCCGAGCGCGTACTCGATGGTGCTGCCAGACGCGCCCTTGGAAAACTCGCCGCCGATAAAGACACCGGTTGGGAAAGAGACCTTGCCCTTGAAAAGAGGAGTGTTGAATTCAGTGGAGAAGGTCGTCATTGTCGGTGTATGAGAGAGACAGAGAGATAAAGTTAGTCCTGGTTAGGGAAGGTCCTTATATATGTCCGTCACCCGGTCACGCGTTTGTGTTCCTCCCGGTTGAGACATCCGCATTTCAAATTACTCCACCCCGGGATTAAGCTGCTATCGATGAACGCGAGTTGCATCACGGTCCGCCTTACGACCACCGTACTAGCACCCATCCTCGTCAATACTATTGTCCAGAGCAGCTAGAACCAGGCTGGAACTAGCCCAACAAACAGGCAAGATGATTCCATTATCGGCGGAAGTGTTTTCATTCCCCACTCTGCCCCGCACCCCGCGCGGGGAGCCGATAATCGAGTCTGGACTCCTCCACGGGATGTTATAATGTACGCCCCTAGCACCCCACTGAAAGGCAGACATATCTACGCTCAACTGTCCACAGTCATCCACAGACGGAAGACCGCATTCCATCAATCACTAAACGCAATCACTCTTCTCTCCTAACACTAGGTCAGCGGACCTCCCCAGGAAGCCCGTCGCGTACTCTCCTAATAACCTCGCGCTCTCTCCTGTCTTGGCGTCCATCATTTGGGGCGTTATTAATAGAGCGAATACGAGTTGCTCGACGCGCGTATGAGCGCGAAATTGGTAGGCGGAATAAAGTTGATGGTCCTCGGCATGCACATCCCGGGAGCGCCCGTTTCATCACACGCCAAGTCAGCTCTTCTGATCCCACGCGAAGAGGCTTTTCGCGTGCAACACCTTGACGTAACGCTAAGAAGAACATCGATGGGGCTGTCGTTTACTCCGCGACATAGTACCAAGAAGACATCGTTGAATTGCCTACCGTCGAACGCGTCCAGCCTCCACCCTCACAACCAAAGGATAGACACGTATCAGCAAACTCCGATATGAGTATTCTATCATTCATGTCGTGCTGGAACGAGATGATGTCTTTGAAGAGTTTTGCGCCACTTATGAAATGATCTGTGTGTAAAGTGTAAAGCATCTCTGATAGTATATCGGTCAGTACACGCGCCTGTCATGCAATAAATGTCTGCTTGCGCGCGAAAGCTGGGTTCGACTCCCAGTCAGAGAGATCCACGATATCCAGTAGTGGTCGCAGAAATTTTACGCACATTGTCATTACTAGTGCCTGTTTTGCAGCAGCTTTTGCTCCGGGCTCCCATTGTAAACACAGTGCACACTGCACAGTTTTGACTATATTATAGCGGTCTAACGGAGCAGATAGCATACTGTACTATTTCGATCAATTCATTGGTCACAGGTCACAAGGACCTGTGAATCGACGAAATGTCACAAGTGTCACCGAAAATTTCGCGAAAAACACCCTGGCGGGGCCCCCGCCGGCCTCCCGACGCAGCTCCGCCGCGTCGGCAATTACCAAATAAGGTAATCTGACGAAACGAAAATTTCGTCAGACCGGTCACAGGTCACACGACCTGACGAATTGATCGAAATAGTACAGTATTATCGAACTTTCTAAAGGGATAAATCGAAATGACGAGCCATCTCAACAACTACAGTCCTGCTACATGGCTTCAAGACGCTACAGTGCAAACACCATAAACTCCAATCCTCACATCAAAGTGAAATCGCCCACCACTCGCAATCCTCCGAGTCTCCTCCTTGAAGTCAATGGATGGTAAAATGGAACTTCCCATTGTGACAGGGACTTACTATCAATTCATATCCTACCGTGTTTTTTTTACTGCATGGGACTCGAACCTGAGGCAGTCGCGGGAATGGGCGCTGTAGGTTGAGCGAATTTACATCGTGACTCGTGAGGCGAAAGCGATGACGATCGCAGAAGCAGTGAAGTAAGTTCGTTGTCGCCTTGCCCATAGGAGATGCGAAGACAGCGACGGCGAAGTTGATATCCGATGCAGGCGATGAGGAGTAGCTGTGATGCATCGTGGGCCACCTATTACTAGTCCCATTCTGTGAGATTTTGACTTGCGCACGTTAATACTTTCGAGACGTACTTAAGAGAAAGTTAAAGGGAGGTAACGGATTAGATTGATAATGGCCAAGTGTAAAGAACTCGGAGAAGGAACAGGCGCATTGGCCTTTTCCGCGACCTTCCCACCCCAACTCTGATGTCGTCTCTGGGCATGCAGACTCGAGTCCACGTTCTTGTGTAAACCCAAGTCGTGGCTATGAACATCACTTTGGTCGAGACGCTGTTATCAGAACCATTTCTTAGACGGGCAATGCTTAGAGGAAAAAGAGCCACGACTCACGGGAAACCGACGTCGATGAATTAGAGAAGTGTCGCCATGCTTCTGAGGTTCTGGTAACAAGCAAGTAGGACAAGTTGTCCGTTGATTTTCCAATCGCGCTCAGAGTCAGACAAGACCATTGATGAATCGCGCGAATTCGGGAGTTGCAGTGTAGTAGGTGGAAGAGCCTTCTGCAAGATAAACCCAGAGCAACGTTTCCTTGACGGCACAGTAGTACGTGATATAGCGCTTTTCTGTAGAGAGTCGGGGGAATGCAGAAGTAGAGACAGTAAGTTGAAGATGGAAGCAAGAAGCAAGCCGAGGTTTGGCCGGAAAAAGGTTGATCCGCCGCTTTCCCACCCACCATCATCTCTGAGTACGCTGGTGGACCTCCTTGGTTTAGACTGAACGTACGGTTATAAGTCATACTCCTCTTTGCGTAAAGACTCGCCGATATCACGCACCGGAATATGGAGAGCATTGTAAAAGTACATTCGGCGCCTTAGATTCTGGTCAACCGCAACGGTCTCCACGGCCATACCGGCGCTCGCTCCTCTCCTACCCCACACGCACCATCATCTGCGAGCGCTGATAATCATCACGGGCTGGAACGAGAACCAGGCATCCTGACATTGAAGGATCGACGTTCCCTAATCACCCCCGCTGGCCGTAGTAACTGTGACGCATCCTTGTCGCGAAGAACAGTGGACATCATCCTGTCGCCGTGGTCACATATGCTTCAGTACGGAGGATGAGACGTGGCTAGGAGATGCGGATTAACACGCGACGGTCTCTCTCAACATCGATGGCAAATGTCTACTTGCATATACAGAAAATCTGTTTCTCGGCGACGACATGATGGTGAAGACGTATAAAAGTCGTCCTCCCTCCTCAATGCTTCTTCAGGTTGATCCTCTTCTCGATATTTGCACCCTCTCACCGCTGGTAAGTATGAGTTGATTTAAATTGGACCGTCCTCTGATCGCAAACGAATTCCCCTTCACAGGCCGGATACTTTCTTCAAATCGCTGGTAAGTCTCCAATGCGACATGTTAGAGGCGTTTTTCATGGCGCACCACAGGTCGAATTCGAACGAATAGCCTCTATACTTACCAGTACACTTCAACGCCTTCTCCAACAACACGATGTTCTCCAAACGTTTCGTTTTTCTCCTCTGTTTGGCCGGCTTACTCTTGGCCGTTTTTGCAGCCCCAACGAAGGTTAGCGCCTCCATGTCTCCCTCTTATAGCGCTGCTAATAGTATCATTAGGCTGGGGTTGGAAAGGCAACGGGGAAGAACGATATGACTAGGGTGGGTGTCGAACGATCTTCATATCCCGCTTCCGTGCTCAAAGCATATCAGTCCAGCACTTTTAATACAAGGCGCGGGGCCACCGCAAAAGGCGGTACCGCCGCGAAGGACGGCAACAACGGGAAAGGTGGTAGCTCGAAGGGTGGCAAGGGAAACGGTAGTAGCGCGAAAGGTGACGGGAAAGGAAGCGACACGGTGAGTCTCATCATGGAATGAGTTTACCTTATTTTATGGTTCCGCGTAGACAAAAGCCGTTTGCAAATTGGACGACAAGGTACGCTACACATTCTTGGATGCACAGAACGGATCTAATACGATTCTAACACAGGCAAAGGCATACCCGCCAAAGTCAAGCAAGACCTCTAAGAACGCCAAAGGCAGCTCGAAGAACACGGACTCGACGAAAACTCCCAAGGGCAGCAAAACGACAAAGACCAAGCGTGACCTGACGCCCACTTTTGAGAAACGCGAGGTGGTCACGATTGGATACCATGGAACGACCAAGGTACCTTTTACTTTGAGCTGCCGCGATGGAAGCTAACCGATGCTTGCTTACAGGCTAACGGTGACGAGTATTTGGCAGCCACAGAAGCTGGAAGAGGCCTAGCACGAGAGTAGGTTGCCTCTTCTGAAATTACTGCATTCCCTCATCGTCTGTTGCAGAGAATCTTTCAACGGAAATGCCGTCCTCTTGGGGAATGGGCTATATGTTGCCAGTTACGCCGAGACTGCCCAGGTCTACGCACTTTCAGCTGCTGACAAAGTCCATGCCAAGGGAGGAGAGTATGAACCTGTCATATGTGTTTTAACTGTCGACACTTCGAAGGCCGATTCGGACTGGGTTACCGACTATAAGAAGATCTGGATGCCCTACGCGCTGCTGGGTAATGGGCCGAACAGACAAGCGAAACAAAAGACCTTCATTACGAACACCTTTGGTGAAGGTTCCGACGACACTGCCATTCGCTTCGCAAAGCGTGCGTTCCATCTTTATTAGCTGTCTGCGATGTCTGCTAATTGGGACCTCAAGTTCGTACCACTCGCCCCGCCAGTGCCGCGGGCCACCAGATGATGATTCCCCCGGCTACCCTCGACCGTATACAGTACGTTCAGATGATGCTCCTTCCTTCCACCAATTCTGATATGCTTTGTTTCAAGGGCGAAGAAGTGTATACCAGCGAGTCGGGCGGGTAGCCTTCCAAAGTTGAATTACCAGGAGCTTCAAGAACCCTGGAATATTTACGTGTCGGATGAGCTGAACTGCGATGACATTGAGTAGCGACGATACCCTAGTCTTTGCTTAGCCCTCTCGAAATTATGATGTCTGTGTACTTAACACTGACTGAGCCTGACCGCGAAACTTGAAGCATGATCGGAGCAAATGCTCCGGCCCACAAAAAGGCACGTCGTGTCACGTTGCTTTGCTTCCCACCATCACCATGGTTTGGATATGCATATAACGACGCCCGTTAGCGCGACGACTAATGACGGGTAAACATCAACCGCCAAAATACGCGGAAACCAACGTTTTTGAAAAGCTCGCCATTGGTTTCTGGATCATCCTTCTACGTGCGTATCACTGCATGCAAAGCTAAGATTTTTAAGTAAGAAATGTAGTAAAAAATCCTTTCGATTTTTAACTAGTTTTTTAGATTAAAAACTTCTTAAATATAATTAAAATATTTTTATATAAAACTCACTTTGCTCGAATTTTTCTTGAAATTATCTCAATTTAGTCAAAATTTCTGTAAAAAAATTTAAATATATTTAATCATTTTTTAACTTGAAAAACTAGTTAAAAATCAAAAGGATTTTTAACTACATTTCTTACCTAAAAATCTGAGCTTTGCATGCAGTGTATCTGTACGATGTTCAAAATTGTTCTAACTATCATGTAGCTTTTCACATTGTCTGGAAGCTAGCCCTTAACATTACAACCTCCAAGCCATGGACGCGAATTGTTACCGAAAGCTTTTCTCGGTACTTCACTGACCATTTAACGTACAACCAAATCCAATGGTTGCAACCGGACACATTTGGGATCTTAAAGAAATGGACTCGACACCATAAGATAACGGTTACCGTTGACAAACTACCCTCCGGTGCGAGCCTCCTATGGATGGGACCGAAACGGCTGGACAGGGTCATTCTATATATCCATGGCATGTTCATTTAACGCGTCCATTGTGCGCGAGTTGACACGTATGACAGGCGGCGGCTTCGTCTTTCCAATATCCGACTTTGCGATCGCGTTCTGGCACCATGTCTGCTCGGAGCTACACGCGAAAGACGTGCCCGTTGGTATGGTCTTCTTGGCCTACAGTACGCATCGTGGCGTTTCGAACGCGTCGGACTCTCTGACGGTCATCTCATCTAGAACTATACCCCGATGGAAAATACCCCGATCACTTACGTGCAGCCCGCGACGCCATTGCATTCCTGCTCGAATCTGGTGTGAAGCCATCATGTCTGCAGATAGCGGGCGAATCTGCAGGTGGTAACATCCTTGTCCAACTGATCTCCCACATTCTTCACCCGCTTCCA